GCGCCCTTGCAGACCCGATGTCTAAGGACTCCCATCGTCTCTCTCTCACACACACACACACACACACACACACACACACACACACACACACACAAAATTATCAGATCAGATTGTTTTGAAGTTGTTAATTTAGAAAATAAATATGTTGTACCAGCAATATCTCGGAATACTGTTTTTTGATTGTAGAAATATGCAATTTGCATATTTTTGTTCAGTTTGAGTCATATTTTGTTTCAGTTTTTCAGCCTCTGAAAAAAAACTGCAGTGTTTTTCCTGGAGTACAAGCTCCTTATCATACTATATCATCCATATATGATACTTAAAAAAAAATGTATGCAGTTTTTATTTTACATATTGTCTAAAGATTCAATAAACTGTTAATTAAAAACCTGACTATTATTTCATCTCAAAATGTACAGGGTTAAAGCAACTATGAAAACAAATTACAGTCTTTTTTGTTAGCCTTAAAGGAATAGTTCACCCAAAAATGAAAATTCTGTTTCTGTTCTGTTCAAAATTTACTCATCTTTAATTTGTTCCAAAGCTGTATGAGTTTCTGGTAACACTTTATTTTAGGGATGATTTCACTCTATTAACTAGCTGCCTATTAGCATGCATATTACTAGTATATTGGCTGTTTATTAGTACTTGTAAGGTACATATTAATGCCATATTCTGCATGACTATATTTTGGATCCCTTAATCCATACCTAAACTTTACAACTTCCTTACTAATTATTAATAATCCCCAAATGAAGCAAATTGAAATATAACCCATGTGCAGTTTAATGATTTCCAAAAGTGAGCAAATTCATAATAAACAAAGACATGGTGACATGGTGAAACATGAACAGAAACATGGAACAAACTCACAAACAGTGGTTACACAAACAATACTCGACCAGAGACAATGGCGCTATGAGGTATATAAATACCAAACGATACAGGTCACATGAAACAAACCAACCAATGGGGAACAGGACACATGACTACAACAACCAATCGAAATATGACACATACACTAGACAGGATGATATGAGGATCAGGGGAATCACATGAGAAACCAGGAAACAGGACTAAACTACAAAAGAAGACATGAAACTTCAAACAAAAACCAAGAACACGTTACATAGTCATAGTTAGTAGATAGTTATTAGTGAGAATTAGTCCTCAAACTAAAGTGTGACCAAGTTTCTTTCTTCTGTTGAACAAAAAATAAGATATTTTGAAGAATTTTGGTAACTGAACAGTTGATAGCCATTGACTTCCATAGTATTTTTTTCCATAATATGGAAAGTCAATGGTTAAGCCACACCAAGAACGATAACTATAAAGATAAAGCTATTAGCGTCCACACCAGCGAACGATATTGTCTGTTTATTCTAAGCGTACATGCATCTGCTGCTTTAAATTCTTGAGCTCATTACAGCAGAATGGATTCTGATTGGCTGTCAATTTTTTATCATTCATCAGCTGGAGAAAAATAATTTTGAAAGTGATTCCAACGATTTTATTTCTCTTTGTCTTTATCGTTATAGTTGTGGTGTGGACTCTGCTATTCTTTAATATTGAGAACGATTTTTAGAACTATATCTTTATCATTATCTTTATAGTTATCGTTCTTGGTGTGAATGGGGCTTAACCATTGACTTTCCATATTATGGAAAAAAATACTATGGAAGTCAATGGCTATCAACTGTTCAGTTACCAAAAGCTTTACTGTCTACTGTTTAGTTACTACCGATGTTTGTATAAACGAGTCATCAAATCACTGACATAAACAATTTGTTCGAAAAACACTGATTCATTCAGGAATACTGTGTATTGATCAGAAATGTGCAACGGTTTGTTCTGCAGTGGTTTTGTTTGATACCACTTTCATTGGTGGACAACAATAGACAAAGTGACAATACTGGGTGTGGAATTGAAGTTACTCAATATATTGTTGTTTATTGGACAGTTGTACAAAATCAATTTGACATTCGCAATTGCCTATAGTCATATCGGCTCGTGTCATAGTGCTTAAATACACACACAACAAAAATGATACAGTATATCATATCTCAGTCCCTTTATTTGAGTGTTTTTTTGTTTATTTTTGGCAGGGAGACCCATTTTTTTTCCTCTCTCCCATTGTTCTCTGCTCTCTTCACTCACTTGTTTCATTGACAGATCGGCATGGAATGTCTAAAAGTAAATAAATCTGGGCATTTATAAAATTTGGAGGGCTGCCCAGGAAGGACATTTAAATGTTTTACAAGGCAATGTAAGAGCTAACAGCAACATGTCCTCTCATGGACCTTTTTCATTCTTTCCTGGGCTGGTGCTATAACTATGCCTCATGAGTATTTATGGACCTTGTGCCACATAGGAGTATATTTAGTACCCTTTGCAACAGTGTCGAGTGTATCCAAATCGTCTTCGAGGTGCACTAGCTTGTTACATTTTAATGTGGTTTTCTAGCTGTAACTCCAGGAGCACTGATCTTAGCTCATGTCTAGCCAATGTTATGTGACAGTTTGTGCACACAGAGTAAATTATTCTGGGAAGGAATGCAAGTAAATTAGTGAGGGTGTCTGAGAGTGGCAGGTACAGCTATAGTACATCTGCACTTTAAAGGCCTGCATTTTTTCTTTGCATGCACGTGCAAACGTGTGCACCCAGATAAATGTGCACAGGCGCACGGTCATGCTCCGATAAGAAAGAGAACATGAACATGCTGATAGCATGCGTAGATAATGTTGATTACCAAAACCATGGGCTGTAACCTTATAAATCAACAGGGGAACTGGCCTTAAGATAGATGCCTTTGTACTTATCTGCCTCTAAACAGTAATGTTTTCTTGGTAGTTTAAAAAGATGAAGTTAGATGACCTTGCATTTGTTCAGGGCACATGTTTTTTTTTTTTTTACATCCTCTGACATACAAAGCAAAACTGTGAAAGGCTAAATCCAATCCAACCTCAGACCCAGCACACATGACCGAGACCGGCCACATAATTACTCTGGATACCCACCGATGTGACATATGGATGCCCATACACTGGCACTGAGAATAGACAGACTGAGAGCAACAACCACAAATCTGGAATGGGATGTTGGCCTCAGGGACAAAATGTGTATATTTAGTTTAGG